TATTTCTGTGCTTGTTATATGTTCATCTTTCATCTTTTTATACATTTTTTGAAATAAACATTATTATTATAAAAGTGCATGAAAATTACAAAAAAATATTGATTGTTTCTAATAGTGATTATCTTAAAAAAAAGTCGAAAATAACATGCATACCTACTCAGTCTTTTTGTAAATTTATGAATGAAAAAATTCTAACTACAGTTCACCAAATCACATCATCATGAGTTATATGTTAGGAATTATGAAAATAGTAATGACATACTTAATAATGAACCTTTAAATGTAATTATAAATAGTACAAAGCTCTCAGCTAAGAGAAACAAGTTAACTTTCGAACCTGACAGGTTTTGTAAAATTTTACAATTAAGTGTTTCTTGAATAAGTTATGGATTTTCAAGTATTGGCCGATTGGCCAATTTAGGATTGGATTCTAAATATCTACCCCTTTATAATTTTCTATCTTGGTGTATGTAAATATTCTAGAAAAATGCTTGTTTCTGATGATTTGGTATGAAGCATCGGTAATGGATTCACTAGCAATCATATACATTTTTCAAGAAGTTGAAATCCTATCAGGTCGGGAAATCAACTTGATTCTCTTAGTAGCTGAGAGCAACTTAAAGTTTCATTATTTTCAATATGCATGTTACTTTCGACTCTTTTAAGTTACTTGCTGTTAGAACTATATGTTCCTTAATTTTTTGTAATTTTTATGCACATTTGTGTAACTGAATGTTTCAACTATGAATTATTAAACCATATTGTTGGTGGAGAATAAGTTGTAGATTAACTGCATAAATACTGATTTCTCCATAGCCTTACATAGGGATATAAGGCTATGGGATGTATGGATGGACCACAACTTATTTTAACTGGTCATAGGCAGAGAATTGAAGTAAGTTCTTACACCTCCGAGATGAGAGATGGTTTTTAGGAGCCCCTCAAGGCATTGTGCACTATAACTATTTTTAAGATTGTTATTTGTTATTCACCAATGACTTTAAATATTTTTATGGACTGATCAACTGTCCAGAATTATTGAATCAAATCTGCCCCTTGGCTCCTGTTGGTGACTCCGTGCATATGTGAAGTTTCCCATGTTTGGTAACCAGGTGTGTTGCTCATCTTTGCATTTGGCTTGACCGCACTGATGGAGCCAATAGCGTGGCCTTGTTCATTTTATTCAATTTCACATATTCTATATTAAATGTGTAGCCTTAAGTTGTTTGTTTATAAATATATACAATAAATGAAATTAATAAATATGATTAGGTAAATCACTGACATACAGTAGAAAGTGTCACTGCTTGACATTATTGAGAAAATAGATGACACTACAAAAGCGGGAAGGAAAATTTCCTTAGGTTTAGCATTGATTGGCATTTAGAGAGTTCATGTAAATTTGAATTTACATTGCGAGATTGTTTTGTTTTCAAATCAGTATTTTTTGTACAACTTACTGGAGGAATTGCAATTGAAGGTTGAGTGAAAAATAAATACACTAAATTAATTTTATTACCTGTTATTTCTCAAAAATGAATTATTACAATCTTTCCTTATATAATACGCCTATAATCTATTATTTCCATTAAATATAAAAGTTATTTACTTTAGGAAAGGATCTCAAATAAAAATATATAATTTATACAAATACATATATCTCCTCTACAATATATTTTATTTTTGGTTCAGTATTCTTTGGCAAAATTCACTAAAACCTGAAATTATGTATATAATACTTTCCATGTCAAAATGTCACATTGCATATTTTATGAACTGATAAGTATTTTGGCCTTGTGACTAGTTGCATTATGCGCCTACACCCTAATATAATAATAAAATATGACAAGAGTTTCCTATTATCTAAAAAAACACCCTAAAAAATTTGAAACATTTCAAAATAGAATATTTAATATACATATCATCTTGTATAATTAATATTCGTACTTAATCTCTCAAGGCACACATATTGAAGACCATTTTTGAAAATGAGTGCAAAAATTCTTCATCATTTCAATATTATGCATTTTAGAATGAAAAATATGTCAATTTTGGAAATTGATCTATTAAGTTTATGAAAAAATTGACAAAATAGTTGTGTTTCATGAAAACTATAATATCTAAAGAAATGAACTTTGAACGTTCAAGCTATAATAATTGAGCAGAGTGTTATTTTGCTATCACAAATATTAAGGGTTTGAAGGAAAATGAAGTAATACTAAATGGAAATGATGATGACAGTTATTAAATTTGACAGTTGAGAAGACCATATTGAACTTTTGGCAGTGAAAAGAAGTAATAATGTAGATTTCTTGTAATAAGAAATTATTTGTGTTTTATTATGATTCGAAACAACTACAATAGGCACACTATAAAATATAGTGGTGGGTATATATAATTTTCCTTTTGCAAAGGCACACCCAGGTTTTGTTTTAGAAGGGGCTGTTTCAGTAGATATGTATCCAATTTTGAAATTATTCAATTGACAACTGAATTTTTTAAGATATGGAAGGCTGCGGGTTAACAGCTTCCGTCTGGACGCCCTTGCAAATTTAATGTTCAATAAAAAAGTATGAAATAAATGCAGTTTCAACATCAAGATATGATGGAAGTTGGTACTTTCTATAAGAGAAACTTGATAATTGTTCTATAATTTCTAAAAATTCTCAGTAATACTCGCAGAGAAAAATGTATATACCCTTTATATGACAGATAATTTTGATAGTCAATCTACTGACGAATTTTAAAACACAAAAAAAATTTAAATAGCTTTCAATACGATTTTCAGCATTTTTGAAAAGAGTTTTAAAAAATTCCTACAAAAATGACTTTAATCCATATACCCCGCAAATTCACAGATATTTTAGAGTAGAGTATTATAATAATTAGTTATGTATAATAAATAAAAATCTACTTCCTAATAAACGTTTTCAGTTCACAAGAGTGGACCACTTTTTTCCTGTTGATACCATAAAAACTATCGACAAGTTTGCAACTGGTAGGATCTTAGTTAGGCGATGGAAAAATGTGCCTTCACCAGTGCCAAAGAGGGCCCAAAATTAACCATTAAACAATTCCTTCTTTTTTTGGACTGGTGCAATAAAAAAAATGTGGGAATCTTCCATCTTTGTATAGAGTTATTTTTTCAAAACTGATTGCTTTCTTCCTTTCTTTGGAATATTCTTACAGTTTTTTGTATAAAAATGAAGAAGTAGAAAACCGAAAACTTTTTTCCAAAAAATTAACCTCTTCGTAAAATATACGCCTTTCAATCTGAACTGAGATTTAATTAAATAAGCAAATGAATGCCATTACGAACTGTCATCGATGATATGAGTAGATTAAACTCATTCATGGCATAAAGTTGTATATTTATGAATTAATTGAGTGCTTCATCTTATAATGTTATCCAGATTTCGTGCTGAAGAGGCGATAAGGCAAAAGTCTCAAACATAAACATCAGTTGTCCACCAGTGAGGATGACAATTTTCCATTTAAGTGAAATTTCACCTCTTTCATTTACTATATTGTGTTGCAATCATGTGAATGATATCTGATTCAATTCTATAACGAATGTTTGGAATACAAACTGAATAGATAAATGCGTTTTTTGTAAAATTCAGTGTTCATATAAAAGAATTTGTTTCAAAAGTATTTTTCTTTCGTGTAATTCAATGTTACCACTAAAGTAACTGCTTCAAGACGGCTTTTCTTCCAATTTGTGTAAAAGCTATTTCTTTGCATGATTTACACATCTCTATATAAATTTAACTCATTGAAATTGATGTCTTCCTTCCTTTGGAAGATTCCTACATTTTTTGTATAAAAATGAAGAAGTAGAAAGCCAAAACCTTTCTTTCCAAAAAATTAATCTCTCCTAAAAGTATATCCCTTTCAATTTCAATTTAGTTCATTTTCAAATAAAGGTTTTCGTTTCTTTGATAATAACACTGTATTGAAATTATGGTTCTTTTCCTCCGGTATTGGAGGGCGCAGATTTTTTAAATTCAATAAGATCAACAGTCTGTAAGTTGTATAGCAAAACTACCAACCTTCATTTTACTTGGTGGTAAGTATGTACTGTAGTGGCACATGGAATTTAAACATAACAGGGGAATTGTACATTCCAGTTTCTATATGAAATAACACTGATGAACTAAAGCGAAGGTATTTTCTATTCTGAATTATTTCTTAACATTAATTATTCAGACTGAATTTTACTAAGGAAATGTATAATACTGCATTATTTCATATTCTCTCCTTTATATTAATAAATGAAAATTAAAAAGTAAGTAGAAGATATGGTAGAAAATGGAAGTTTAATGGAGATCCTAAATATCTTGCTCCTTGAAAGCAGAAAGCAAGCAAAGAAATTTCCACATACTCCAATACTTGAATGAAAATTTATATAAGTAGAAATAACTTACAGTATATATACTCACGAACATTTTTACATCGAATTTATATTCCATGTAACTACAAATTTACAGCCTATTTTTTCTAGACTGTTCAAAATTATATATTATGAAATAATACTGAAAAGTTTAAAAAAATCCCAATAAACACCTTGAATTCAGATAATCTCTTGCTGGATACCTAATGTGTTATTTGGATAAATAGGTTTCCCTTATTTCCTGATGATGCCAACTTGATTATCGGAACACTGATTTGGTATGTGGGAAAAGTATTTTCATTATATTTTTAATGATGATGTATCAATCATACCTTGTATTTTATCATTATTAAATACCACATTTCATTCGAGAATGAAGGGAAGGTAAAACTTTTGATAAAACCAGAATTTATTCCGAGTATTCATACTAGACATTATATCAATATTACTGGAGTTCTGTCCCAACAGCAAACCGTTATTTATAACACTTCGACACGTGTTTCAATCACCGAGTTATCATCTTCAAGAGGAAGATTAAATTGATGAATATGATCACTTGGTGATTGAAACACGTGTCGAAGTGTTGAAAATAACGGTTTGGTGTTGGGATAGAACTTCAGTAATATTCATTACTAGACCAAAGGTTCCAAACAGTGCATCACAAGTAGACATTATATGACGAAGATTTACATATGTTGACTGGTACAGTTTGACAAATGTAGGAAGAGCTTTCTGAATTCCTTTATGGTCTCCCCACTAGATGTGCATTCGATAGAAGACTATGAGAGCATAAGAGAGAGAATTCTCTTCCTAGATTTGACAAGCTGTACTTTTGAAGATACCAGAAATAAATTTTCTATTGAAGTTTACTTTTTACTGTAAGGAAATACTAAATAATAAATCTTACTCAAATGAGTGTATTCAAAAATGGGGTATGTGGATTATTATTGATTTGGAAAATTTAACATGGGGTCATATGGATCCAATTATTTGTTTTTCATTTTGCAAAACTTCATCATGCGTCTATGATTATGAACTGCTCTTCCTGTAGAACTAATGTATCTTAATTAATAACTGTGCACATAGAACTCAAGTGTTTTGGCTTAATACATAAGAAACTTAAGGATTATCTAGAAAAATGAGAATTTTCATAGGTTTTGCTACTGCCTTCAACAGTTCCAATAGGTTTGAGATCTGGAATTTTCAGTTTAATTTCATCAAAATGTATTTTTCTTTGGTGTTTCAGAAGCAGGAAATTTCTAGTGAAGGACGAATTACAATGGTTACATTTAAAAGGACGTTCACCTGAAAAATGTATATTTTGCAAAACATACTGAACTTTGCATATCTAATTTTCTACATCTTTAAACAATATAGAGATAGACTAGGTACCTATATGTATGATGATTTATAGCACTTTCCATTGTTAAAACTAGTTATGCACTGAAAGAATACAATTTCCACTAATCATATACCAGTGAGATATCAATGGAACTTTGAGGACAGTGAGTTTATTTAGTGATATCTAATATGCTTCAAATTGATAAGCTGCATTTATCTTTTGCAAATATCTTTGATGATGAAAAAGAAGATCAATAATTATTTGAATTTTTTAAATAAATATTATTTTATCAGAAAAATTATTCAAAAGATATACTTAGGACGTTCTTGTAGTATTTTCCATACAATATACATATCAAGATTTTTTTATCATCTTCAACAACTTTTTTCTCATTTACATAAAGAGGTAGGGAGAGTTTGAAACTCATTCAAAAAATGTAACATGAAAATTTTAGCCATTAGTGACTAATTTTAGCAATGGAAAATGTTCAAAATGATTACCTGTATGTATCATAATGTGTCGTTTCAAATCTGTGGGCCAACCAAATTTTTTGTGACAAAAAGAGCACTGATGTTTTTTCATTAAACATGGCTCAGGTTTATTGATTTGAGTTAGGGGATAGAATATGTTATCATAAATCTCTCCATTGGACTCTTGATTTTCATCTATTGTAACTGAGCAGAATTTTAGAGGATTAACATCTTCAATTCCAGAGTCACTACTTTTGTCATTTTCAAACTCTGATTCATATAGAATAACATGCCTTGCAAAATGTTGCAGTAATGATGCTGCCGAATCAAATTCATGACTGCATTCAGTACAAACAAAATCTGAAAATAAAACAACTAGGTATATTTATATTACTTCTTACTGAACCCACAAATTACCTGGAGGAAATTGCATTTTTTGAGATCTGAGGTTAGGAACTCAACATGATAAACTTTTGTGTGTATAGCTTTAAATAAAAATCAGGCAGTTATAAGTCGACTGAAAACACATACAATATGTGTTAAAAAACAACTTCTAAAAAAAATCACTTTTTGAAACGCCATATTTAAAAACTGTAGAGGTCGGGAAGGGTGAAGCGAATTTGTTTTGTGTGAAGCCGGAACATCCGATCCGCCATCACTTGAGAAATGGGAAGTGTCCACTACTAATAAAATATTTATTAATAAAGTGAAAAATATATGGATTTATTCTCTACGTACCTTTTACTTTGCTTCATAGGTAAGTTATTTCATTTTTATCGATATTAAATGTGACTATAAAAATATCTGTATATATATTGCATACTCTACATGACAAATAAAAGGTGGTTCTTTTGGGGCTTTACCAACGTAATGAAAGTAATGTAAAATTTTATTTTGATTCTTTGGCTAGTTGCTCTATTCAATTACTTTTGAAATGAATGCAGAATGCTGACTTTCTCCAACGAAGATTCTAGCCAGAAAAATGATCATCAACATTAAAAACTAGGAAAAATAGTGTACCTACTCATTCAAAGGTGAAAATATAGTGTTTTTTTGGTCTAATATGGGTTTTCTTATGCTTCGTCTCGTAATATAATATATCTTCATCTCAGGTGACACGTCTTGATGTCATTTGAGGTGATGATGAAATAATTGACAATATGTTGAATAAATATACATTTTCCGAAAATATGTTCAAAAAATCTTAACATAAACCATTACAAGCAATATTAAGTTGGTAACACCGGTGCAAACTAACAACACTACCACGCTATCATCATTGGTAGCCATCTTGTTATTTGATGAAAATACTTAGTTGAGAAACAAGCAGTGTGATTTCACATTGATTCTGATAAGTATGTATATTTAACAAATATTTTAACTGAATAGGAGCATAGTTTCATTTCTTTTATATTGGAATCATGGAGACTCGGTAAGTTTTTTTAAATTAAGATATATACAATGCAAGTGTTTCGGTTTGAAAATTTCCACCGTCTTCAGATGCCGGTCCTTAGCAACGGTTAGTTGTTCCAATCAGTTGAATAATATTTTCTAAACATATATAAACCTCAGAAATTGAGTTTGGGAATATTCGAAAAGTAACCTTGAACCTTGAATCCGTTTATTTTTTGTCAGGATCACACGGAATAGAATCCAACATGGGAATAAGTGTCAGGGTCCTACGATTTTAGTATCTTCATATTATTATTGTGTATTTTTACATTTTGACTACCTATATGGAAAAATATATTCTATTTTTATAATTTTCGAAAATGTGTTTGCAGATATTAATCAGAAAGTAAACTTATACGTATAGAATGGAGGGCCTGATACCAACATGAAACCTATATCAGTTCGAATGCGTGATAATATTCATTCATTGTATGGAAGAACATTCGCTCGATATTTTTTTTACACTATACCTATGTGTTTCTTCTATAAAATTTCTTATTTCAAGGTAAATTTTTCAAGGTAAACAGAATTTTACACAAAAATAAGGTAATTCTAATGAATAATCAACCTCACCTTGCATGCCTGGCAGAATTATATGGAAGAAAAATTTTAAGTTATCAATTGTAATAGGTATTACGTGAAATGGTTCGACATTTTGATATCTGACGAAAAATGATGGAGCGTCTCGCGACAGTTGTAACTTGGCTCCCGGTGTCTAACAGATTGTCCGATGTTTCCGGTTTTATTAAACATGGTCTGCAGGTTTTTATACCTGACGTTTCGTTTGCTACTGAGACATATATTATCAAAGGCGATGCGGTAACAGTGATCTAGCGATGCTGCGATGCGCAAACTAATAATTGTCCTGGCGCATTTAAACTTATAAAAAGACTCGGTGTCAGACAGCTGACTTTTCTTGTACCTGATTATTCCAGGTAGCCTAGTAACACTACCAGATATTTGATCTTTGACAGATTTATCTCTTCACCTTGAAGTTTCAGAGGTCGTAGTCCATCTGTTTTGGTCTTCTTGTTACTATGGTCGATTTAATTGGGATTATGTTCATCCCTCCTTCATCGGTTTAGTTATAATATTCAGGGCCTGCTGCATGTGTCCCTTCACTTTATTATATATTTGCCCCGAAACATTATGACTTAGTCGGCTGTATAGTCCAGTACTTTGTGTCCATCATCTTCCAGAGACGTAGTAACTCGTTCATTAGAAGGTTTTATAAAAGAGGGGACAACATCCCTTGAGGACAACATCCCCTGAGGACAACATCTTGCTACCCGTGCCACTAGTATCTGTTCCGTGATGGTTGTGCAGTATTTTCACCTGCAGCCTGGTGTCATTTCACCAGAAAACATTCCTGTTTGATCTCTGGTTGACGGTGGGACAATGTTCGATGTCGTAGAGATAGTAGCTTCCAGTAGTCGGTCTGCTGTTAACTGTAAGTCTGTTGAATCTCTTCTTAAAAAACCCATCGGTTCTAAACAAATTTCCAGGTCTGCCTTCAAGGCTTCCTAGTTTGTTTTCTGGGAGTTTTCATGAGATTTAATCAAGGTATGATATTATCAGATGATCTGAACAACTTTCCTCATCAGACACATTCCATTTCTCAACATAGTTACTTATAAATGTAGTATCTAATGTTAAGTCTATCACTTTCCTACACCTCGAGTTAACAAAGGTATGTTTATTGTCTATGTTTAAAATGTCAAAATTGTTTGCTATGATCAACTGTAGTAAGTGGTCACCTCTTTCATTGGTGTCAGTGCTCCCCCAGGTTAAGTGGTGTGCATTGACATCACAACCAAATATGAGCTGTGATCTGTCTGTTTAGCAGGCTCTCACTAGTTCGTCTACATCCCTGGTTGGTGGCGGTCCCTGACTATCGTAAGGAAGGTACGCTGATCCAATCACAATTTTCCGAGGTCCTGCCTTACCAGCAAACTTTAGCTTGACCACTGCCAAGTCACTCGTGCAAAAGTTACTCAACGGTAGTATATTTGATTTTTTTCGGATAATTATGCATGTTCTTGGAGACTTCGAGGTGCTGTTGTGAATCAATTCTTTCCGAATCTCTCCCAATCCCATGATCTTTTGCCAGTTGAACCTTGGTTTTTGTATGAGAGCAAAATCAAACTTTCCCATAACTTTTGTAAGGACCGCTGAAGCTCCCGTCCTGTGTTGTAGTTTGACTTGTGGCTTTCATTGCCAATGAAAAGAGTCACTCAAGAAGTTCTCGTTTCGTTTGTGATTGTGCCCTATTAAGATCCTACGAGTGTGGGTGAAAGGTTTGTACATGTCTAGGTCATAAGTGAACACTTCTATTATACAGGATGATTCAGAATTGGACAAACAACCTCCTCAGGGCGCTAAAATTGCAAAAGAAAATACTCTTTTACTGTAGCTTCCGTTGTTCCACTGCTGTGGTTTTTGCTTATATTTCCCTCTCATTTTTTATGTCACATATTTATTACCTATTCAAAATGTTAATTCTTTTTAAATGTCTTCATTGAATCTACTTGGAAAATGAAAAAAAGGTTGACTATGGAAAAAGTCGATTTAAAGAAAATTTGATTATGAAAAGAAAATCGTTTAGAATCCTTTTGTTGTCCTTCCATTAATTTTGTGTTTGAAAAATTGATGTGTTACAATATTTGGTGGATTTTGTATTATCATATCCAAATTATTTGCAAATTTGATCCGTTAAATAGCCCTATACCCAGATTTTATTCAATGAATATTTTGAAAATACTGCGGAAGCAAAGAAAAAATCATGGATTCTTTTTTTGTTTAATTCTTGAGGTAATTGTAGACTCATTTATATGTATCGTTGTAAATCATACCCTAAAGAAAATAACGCCGGTCGCCACTGGTAGCCATAAACCGATTGTGACGTAGCTAAAGCGCGCGAATGTACGATGTCAGCTGTCTTTCTAGATGTAGCGAGTATAATGCTACTGTCTTCGATAGAATTCCGAGGAATGTTCCAGTGCCTTCGATTGCCAAATATAAGTGCCATCCACTCGCCCATCGGGAGAGTCAAGTGGAAGTTACAGTGCGTGTACACAAAGCGGTCTAGTAAGGCGATAGACATTCAAATAATAGTTGAAGTTTCAGTTGAAGTGTTTGTTGTCTTTGAAGTGAAATAAAGTGAAGTTTGATTATTGTTCAGTGTATTCAATTATTGGTTACCCACGGAGAAAAACGTAACATTTGGTGTTGGAAGTGAAATAATTGACTTAAAATGTTTGAGGCTTTGCAGGCAGGCTTGGTGGAGAATGATAATCGTAGAAGAGAGGAAGATGAACGAAGGAGGGAGGAAGAACGATTACGGCGAAAGAAAGATCGTGAATTATTAATAGGCATCCAGGAAAAACAGAAAAAAGACAATGATATGTACCTTCATTTATTTGAAGATTTAAAAATTACTCAAGTAAGTAAAGGAGAGGTACCGGAATTTATTCAAGAAAAATGTCAAAAAGTATTTCAGGAAACAAAGGAAGGATTGGAAAAAACAGTCGATGAGAAGATTGAGAGGAGTTGAAACGGATCCAGAGAAAATCAAGGCAGTGCAAGAGTGGCCAACACCGAAGAGCAAGCATGACGTAAGAAGCTTCCTTGGATTCTGCAGCTACTACCGGCGTTTCGTGAAGGACCTTGGGAAAACTGCCAGACCGCTGCAAAGCGTTCCAGACGTGATAAGGTAGCGGGCAGAGACTTCTTCATGGACAGCTGTGATAGGGAGATAAACTCCCTTACCGCCCGCCGCTTCGGGTTCCCTCTGACCCGGAGGGTAGCAACCTGTAAGGGTCCCTTGTCCAGGGATACGGACAGGAAACCTGAGGAATCACCTGATCATGGTGTGGTAAGGTCATTAACAAACTTTTAGGGTGTCAGTACCTTCATGACGAGGCATGAGATCATCGTAGCGCAGAAAGAGGATCCGGTCTTGAAAACTGTACGAGAATGGATTGACAAAGGAGTGAGGCCAGAATGGCAAGAGATCTCCAAGTCGGCCAGCAGGAAAATGGATACTGGGTCCAATGGGACTCCATTTGCATTCGACACGACCTACTCATTCGGAAATGTGAAAGCCCGAATGGAAGAACCATGAAATTCCAGATAATTCTTCCTAAAACGTGTATCCGAATATACTTGAACAGCTTCACGATGGTCGCACTGGAGGGCATTTCGGAGTGAATACAACTCTAGCGAGAGTGCGTGAGAGATACTATTGGGTCAATTGCCGTCGAGACGTGGAAGAGTGGTCTAAGCGCTGTGACTTGTGCTATTCGAAAAAGGGTCCGAAGACAAGGCAAAGAGGAAACTTGAAACAGTACCTCAGTGGGTGCCCTTTTGAGAGAATCGCAGTCGACATTCTGGGACCACTCCCTATGACCACATCCGGTAAAAGTACTTTATGGTTGTGATGAACTACTTTTCCAAATGGCCTGATGTAGTAGCCTAACCCAACCTTACCAACCCCAACGTCGGAAAGTTTTTTGTCCCAAATTGCAGAGACCATGGCAAAGACCTTACCTGGTAACCAAACAGATAAACGTTCTGGTGTATAGAATCCAATTGTTACCCAGAAGTAAGCCTGAGAAGTAAGGCTGAGTCCTTACATGTCTCCTTGTTGTTCAGGGCGAACAACCTCAGGGAGTTGTGTTGTAAATCATGCCCTAAAGAAAATAACGCCGGCCGCCACTGGTAGCCATACACCAATTGTGACGTAGCTAAGAGCGCAAATGTACGATGTTCGCTGCCTTTCTGCATGTAGCGAATATGTTAATTAATGTACAACACCCTCATTGGTCTTGAGGAAAACAAGTGAAGAGGTGTTGTTAAATGAAAGTAAATGATGAAAAACCGGAATTATTATTGGGTTTTCTCATTGATTTACTTATAGAACAGCAGATGTCTCTGATCACACTTGCACCATAATAGTTCTCTTTTGTTCCATTGTTTTAT